TCGAGGCTCTGACTGTGAAAGCTCTGTCAACTCTGGTTTTTTTTAGCTTTGCCTCAGGAACAACTAAAAGACCTCTGCCCGAGGGTCTGAGGAGCTGCTTCATATGCTGTTAAAAGGTCAGATATAAGACATGACGAGAGGCTGTGAAGAGCTTTAAAAATCAACAGTAGGATCTTAAAATCAACTCTTTAACCTACAGGGAGTCAGTGCAAGGAGGCTAAAACCGGGGTGATGTGGTCACTTCCCCTGGATCCTGTTAAAAGTCTGGCAGCTGACTTCTGTACAGTCTGGAGCCATTTAATATATTTTTGGTTGAAGCCAGTGAAGAGGCTGTTGCAGCAGTCGAGACGTGAGGAGGTAAAAGCTTGTGAAATGGTTTCTGATAAAATAGATTGAATTTTGAATATATTTCTCAAATGGAAAAAATTAAGACTGCACATGTTTTGTTGTGTGCTGCCATGTTAATACAACACAATGGCCAATGGACTGCACTTATAGCATTTTTCTAGTCGTGTCGACCACTCAAAGCACTTGCCACGTCCACTCACACATTCATACATCACACCCATACACACACTGATGGAACAGCCATCAGGGGCAGTTTAGGGTTCAGTGTCTTGCCTACGGACTCAGAGGAGCCAGGGATCGAACCACCGAGCTTCTGATTGGTGGACAATAATGTGATACTGGGCGATTCTGCGAAACCCCAAATTATGTTCAGTGTCAACATTTTTAAAACTCTCGCTTTCACACGACTGTCCACCACCACAACATCCACATGCTTGAGCACACACTTCAGCAAGGACAGCTGCAGACTTGCACATGGGCAGCAGATGAACATGTACTTCTATACATACTACAACTGGGGAATGCACACACAGATGTGCTACAAACATGTGCGTTATATAGAACATGATTGAATTGACAACAAAAAGGAGAATTCCTTTGTCGCCTGAACAACATGAAAAAGCCACACAAAAAAAAGAATGATGGGGAATAGGACCATGGGGAATACAGTAAATAGAGTACAATAAAATAAGTGTCCGCTTTGCTTTTCAAGTTCTTGTGCAGCTGTTGCGCTCACAGTGTGTACAGAATGTGCGGTCAAAAAGGTTGAGCTGCATGCAGACCTTGGGCTGTCAATGAAATTTACATGGTGTTGATCCATGTGACCACACAGTGGAAACCGTGTATTGGCCTTTACTTTCTTGCTTTGCTTCATATAGAAAAACACCATATCCTTCAGCTTCAACTGAGCAGCACGACAGAACCTCGACTGCACGGAGAGGTGAAGAAAGGAGGACCTGAAATGACGCGGACAAAATAATATCTAACCTCTCTCCCTCTGCATCCTGTCCTGTTGGAAAACCACTGTGGGAAATGATTGCACACCATTGGTTGTGTAGTAACACCACCTGCTGTACAAAACACTGACATGTACAGTCTTAGGGTTTTGTTGTGGTTCACATCAGGACTAACATTTTTACTCTTTTGCATGGTGAAAAATCAAAATGGAAAAAAGATTAAAAAAAACAGAGATAGCACGATATTTAAACTTTTATCATTCTTAACTGAATCTATTATCTCCGCGTTGTGCAAGAGCTGCTGCAAAAATTATTATCAGCACCACACACACGAGACATTCATTGACAAAATTGGTTGACATACAAGCGACACACATGCAATGTTTGTGTAACAGCTGACTTGCTATTTGCTTTCAAGTAGCTTCAACAACAACAGTCATCAAGAGGGTGATCACATGGAACGGAAAGCACTTCCTGAGAGCTGCTTCACTGAAGCTTCCTGTACTCGAGAGAAGAAGCTGACCTAGTTGACTAGTTAATGGTGGATGGAAGCATAGGCGGAGCGAGGGGGGGCGGCTTATGGGGCTCCAGCTCCGGATGTTTTCCCAAAAGTCCCAAATCTTAAATGAAGTTTATTATAACATTATTTATATTTATAACTTCAACTTGGTGTCAAAACACCTTCCAGAAATACAAAAAATACATTTGTAAACTCACAAAAATATCTGGCAAATATAAAACGGATCTACAAACAAATTTCACGAATAAAAGCATATCTGAATCTATTCAATTAATTTACAAATAAATGAAAAGCATTGGTGAATATCTTCCTAATATTTACAACCTTCAAACAAACATTTTTGAATCACTTTTCTTTTCTCTATGCTTGTGGATTTGCGTTTTACACACAGAGTTTTGGGACAAATCTTCTGCCGGTCTGAACGAAAATCGACTTGTATTGGAAAACAAGTGATCGCGAGAAGTAACAGATCTGTTTTACCAGTTTGCATGGCGGTTAGGAGCTCACTCTTCCCCCTGACAGCAGACATCACAATCCTCTACGCTGAAGTTTCAAAAACACCGAGCAAGAGAGAGAGAGAAGCCATCACTAACTGCTGAGCTAAAGTAACTAGCAGATGAATAACATGCCTACCTGTAACCAACCACATCCGACATCCCACACTGTTTCCACTGATCAAGTTACTCACAGAAAGCTAGCCGGCTAGCCAATATTACGAACAACCTTAAGACAGGAAATACAACTGCTCACGTCTCAATCCCATGGCAAACTGTTAACCAACATGTTGTTTACACACAGTTTAAACAGAAGGACTGGAAGTGTGATAATTGTGTGAAATTAAGTTATTGTAAGATGATGCACGCTGCTGTTAACGTTGCTTACCTTGTACTGTGAGGGAAGAAAACAAAAAAACCAAGATGGCGTCCCGCTTGGGACGCAGCTCAAAACTACAGTGTACCACAGTGGTCAAACAACACCAAAACCAGGATTCACCTGGGAATAAACCATAGACTGTATATAAAAAGGAATAAACATAGCAACTTTGACACCCAGTGGCTTATTTAGGCTACTGCCCTACACATTCATTACTGTATATATGTATGTACAGTATATGCCTGATGATATGCATGTATGTGCAAGTGAAGTATTCAGTTTTGGCCTAGCAGCTTCTCATAGAACTGAGTGACACACATTAGTATTGTGCGACTATGTGGATAATAGCAAACAAAGAAATAGATTTATTGAGCACAGAATAGATTTTAGTTTGCTCAGGTTACAGTATTATTTGCTCAAAAATATTTTTTATTCAAAATATAATTTGTGTGTTTGCAAAATGTATTTGTCTGGCCACAAAAAAAAGTCCCACTACGCGCTCAGGAATGAGGCTAAAAAAAAATCCATGGGCCAACTGCGACCTTCCTGCTTTTTGTCTTCCGTATTTAAAGCAAAGTTCGCGCCTTTCGGCCAAATGCCCGTATGTGCGCAGACCATTAAAGCATTCAGTTGTGCGCATCTCTGGTTTTTCCCTCCACTCCCCGTTTCCTGTTCGTCCGATTTCCGAAACTGTCACAGGTATGAAAAGTTTCTGCGTTTGTTTGTTCCCCACTTTACTTTTCTTCTGCTGTTATTCACATTATTCTGGAGAAAGACTCGGCCGGGTCTGGGCCCAGAGATCCGGCTGAAATGCGGTGCGACCGGTTTCCCGAGTCCCAACAACCCACAACCAGGCCGGAAGCAGCCACCCGTGCCGGACGGCCATTAGACCTACTGCTCTGGCGCTGGGCCTGAACGGCGTTTGTTAATTTCCTGATATTTTCCCTACGTCAGCCCTTCACTTAGATACAGGATGGAATCAGATTACATAACATGCTGTCTTATTAAAATACACATTTACACACAGAGTAAACCAGCATCAAGTCCACAAGCAGCAGCAAAAATCAATCAGCTATCTACAGTAGCTGTGTAGAGTCCACCCTAACTGGTCTCATCCAGATGTTGAATTGGATATAAAGCCTAAAATTTGAAATACTTATTGTAGTGTAAGAAATTGCAGACATATTGTAAGGTCTTGCAGCATCAGAGCTCCATTTATTATTATAGAATAAACTGGGATGACATTGCACATTTTAAGGTTCTCCCTTTGGAATAACAAATGTGAATTCTTAAAAAGGGTTGGATTCTCCTTTAAATGCACAATCCATGATTATGATCTAGTGTTCCATCCTCAAAGCACCTGAAAGCAAAAGAGGAGGGAATGAGAACAGAGTGATCCGGAGTAGATCAAATAAAGATCAAATTGTCTGATAATATTACAGTACATGTCCATGTTGTTTATCCTATGATGCTATTCTTTAAATACATTTAATATCATTAGAGTAAATATTCTTCTGTTGGCCTAATATTCAGTTCAGTCATGAAGACATTTACTTGGTCTTGTTGTGGATCCATGTCTGTTCAGTTAGAGCAGCACATATTATTATGGTCTGGATTTAAATGTGGTTCCCCACCTATGTCATGTAATTCAAAATAGTAAAATCAGACAATTTTTGTCTCTTTTTATGTGACAGTAGTGAAAATTAGTCATTGTCAAAATCTGTTGTGTTGTGGTTTCAGAATGATGGAGACAGAGAACAGTTAGATTCAAAATACGATGCAGGCTTAGGATGATTTTTTTTCCTGGGCAATTTTCATGTTTTTCCCAAATGATATACAAATGGCTTGATACAGTAAACAGCATGTAGCTGCTGTGAATGGGGAAAAACATTCCCGAGGGGAGCATGTCCCCTGAATATTGACTTTAGTTGGGCCGAGCCCCGAATGTTTACAATGTCTGGCTCCGCCCCTGCTTTGTGGTGGTATTATTTCCCACACAATTTGCAAAGACGTGTATTTGTCTAGTTTAGGTTAAAAATCAACCTGTGCAAGGTGAAAGGAAGCTGTTTCAAAAGATGATGATCAATGATCAATACTGTAACCTCAAGTCATACGTGGAGTGGGTTTAAAAATAAAAAAAAATTGTTATGAATTTTTTTTTTCCTAAAAAAAAAAAATACTGCTGTAATTGTGTAACTTTTCGCATTTAGTTGTAGGTTTATTTTATTCCTGTGCAAAATATGAACTTTTACAGTGATACTTTTAATGTGAAAAATACCAACCGGAAGCATTGACCTTTTGCTTCCGGTCAAACATGTAAATACATTTCTAGCTGCGAGCAACTTGTTTTCAGCCGGAAAATATCGTTAAATTTTCTTAAATTGCTTATTTTCATCCAACTCGTAGTTTATTTACTGCACGCAAGAACCTGAGCTACTCGACTATGCTCTCACTTTCATTGTTTCTCGTCCTTGTTTTGTTAAATAAACCTGTCAAATTCAAATTGAGTTAGCCAGTTAGCTTGTAGCAGCTAAAACCGGACTAAAACAGGTGGATGAGATTATGCAGCGTTTACAGTTTTAATGTTGACCAAATAACGTTAGGAGAAGGATCATTAATGGCAGCACGGCAACCCTTCACAGACACGGATACTGCAGATGAAGCAGTGAGGACGACATGTGACGATGCAACCACATGTAAAAGGTAACTAGCATCAGTATCATCTTCAATCACTGTATCACTGAGTCAGCTCCTTATAATTTATTATTAGGCCGTTGGTGAGATTTATGGATGGATCTCACTATATAGCAATCACTATAAAAAATGTTAGTTAAGAGAGCATCAATTATGTGGCACCTCCTCATTCTGTTCATAATATATATATATATATATAATGTTATATAATTTGTATATGATCTGTGTCTAGGTTTGCCACCAGTAAAGGCTACTGGAAGGACCCATATATCCAGTACTTTGTGAGATCTGTAGGCGAAAGGAAGGCACCTGAAATCAACAGGGGCAAGTTACACATCTCATTTCTGCTTCATTCAATAAGGTCGTACAAGTCATCACATTAAGCCAGACTGTAAATGAAAGGATCGCAAGTAAATATTATGAGCCTGGCCTGTAGCTACTAGAGCTTCATAAGCAATACACCGCAGTGTATGTAATAGAGCAGTTAATACTCACAAGGTAATTGTGTAATCTCCAGTATAACTAGCTATTAACGCCTCACTTTATAATGTGGTTAGTGAGGAGTTGTCAGCAGTAAATTCTCCCACTAACCCAGTCATGCTGTTGGCTTTTGATCCTTTTGTCCTCCATATTTGTGATCTTGTACATTTTTAAGGGTTTTAAATGCCACAGTGCTAAAATGATCTAAGGAATGTTTTTTTTTTGTATGTAACATGACTAAGGTATGTGTTTTATCTTCATTATCTGATGTGACAGGCTACTATGCCCGTGTTCAAGGAGTGAACCATCTACTTGATGCGTTTATAAAGAAAGCAGAATGTGACTGTCAAATCATTAACCTGGGAGCTGGGCTGGACACCACGTTTTGGAGACTGAAGGTTCGCAGCGTTGCAGCTCCGTCGCTCTAAAGTGGAGTTTGATTCTATTTGATTTGATGCGACTGCATCAAAATACAATTTATCTATCCTCAAAAAACACATCTTTACTGTGTGTGTGTGTGTGTGTGTGTGTGTGTGTGTGTGTGTGTGTGTGTGTGTGTGTGTGTTATAGGATGAAAATCTCATGCCACGGAAGTTCTTTGAAGTTGACTTTCCTACCATTGTGGCCAGGAAAATACACAATATAAAGTAAGATGAACTGGGCTTTTTTTATTTTATTTATTCTTTACAGCCACAGGGTCTAAATCTAGATTTACTGTCTTACATCTCTCACTGCATTTGTAAATTAATTACAACCTATGTTGTAGTTACTTTAATTCATGAAAATGTTATGCATAACAGGTTATGATTAATATTTAATTATTGCTACACAACAGGACATTAAGTAGCACCAGTGTATCATGTTTTCTAGCTTTGGTGTTGTCATGTAGTGTAGAGAACTGTAGAGGGAGACAAAGGTCTTTGTTACAGAAAACGGCATCTCAGCATTTACAGCTGTTGTACAGAAGAATTCCAGGAGCTTCAGTAATAAATTTACACTGTATGCTAAACACACGTGTGTCCTGCATTAACAGCTTATGTTAAGTCTGTTAGATATAAAACAAAACAAGGGTGACTTGGGATAAGCTGTGTATAAGCAGCTGCAGTGTTCACTCACAAGTGCTTGTTTGCTGTAAAATGTGTTACATTTACTATCATGGAACTGAGGCTAACATATGCACAAAATCTAAAAACTTTAACTTATTTGTGTTTCTATTAGCTCAGTGTAATAGCTTTTAGCCTGTAACATCATATACTTAGCTGCCAGTGTATTGGGTACATTAGAAACACTGTTGTGTTAGACTGCTTTAGTTTGAGCTGTTAACCTAATAAAGTAGCAACTAATTATATAAATACGATGGTTGTTGGAGCTTTTGACACAGGACTATAAATGTATCCTGGTGAATGTAAAAGGCCTGACTGTAGTATGGCTTTAGGTTAATTGATGATAAGTAGTTTTAATCGTGAATTATGTTGTTTTCTTTTGACCAGGACAAAACCACCGCTGTCCAAACCCATCATCGAAACCCACTCAACAGACTCCTTACTGCTAGGTATAACAAAAATTACAATCATACATCACAAACCACGTAGGCTTTACATATCCATGTGGTTTAACTCCAAACATCCTTCATTCCATGTGGGAAAACCTCTCTAACTGTGCGTATGTGTTTGTTTGGTTCAGATGCCCACAGCCTCGACTCAGACCGTTACTGTATCATTGGAGCAGACCTCAGAGACATCTCTAGTTTGGATGAGAAACTGAAGAAGTTCCAGCTTAACCCAGAGTAAGTGACAGACACTGTCGGGTCTGATCTCAATATTATATTCCATATAAGTCATACTAACCAAATGAGTTGGAGTTTGAACGAAGTGTAAGTATAAGGTCATTATACTGCTCTCTGCCAGTTTTCTTTTTTTCCCAGCATGTCTTTGGAAATCCAAGAATTGAAGCTTATCTCTTGTGTTTTCTCACTGTAAGTGACTCTAGATAACAGACTTACTCTACAGAGTGACAGTATGGCTGTCATTCAGATGTAATGTCTGACTGTCTGGAGCTTCTGAGGAGGTTTTGATCCTTTGTTCTATTGTAAAACTGGCACAATTGGAATCCATTGTCACTTAGTTAAATTTAGTTCAAAAAACCTTTGAAGCCTTCAGTATTATTTATCTTACCAGTAGTAATGGACAAAGATGAATTTGGAAGTTGGATGGCACAGGCCTTTTTCTTTCTTTTTTTTTTTTTTTTTATGACAGGAAGTTTTCTGTGGCGAGGACGGGCCTCGCTGCCGGACTCTCTCATCTCAGCTCATTACGGCATTTTTAGATAATTTTTATTTATCCATGGAGGTTTCACAAAGAGCGAGGCTCTCTGTTTCAGGAAGCTGCTGAGTGTGAATCTTTCTGTCTGCCTGCCAACACTAAAGACTGGAGTGAAAATGGAATATTCCTCTGTGAATATAACAGACACTGAAGTGCAAGTGGGTTTAAGATAACAAGAGTATGAAAGATAAAAAAGTTTTTATTGGTTTGAAGGTTTGTTTGACGGGAGTGTAACAGTTTGATAATCACACTCACTAAGGATGCCATGTTTATCTGTTTATTAATTAGGTGCTATATAACTTGACCAATCGCAATGACATTTCTGTTTTCTATATAATTAGTTTACTTTCATGCATATCATATAAAAAATTTAGATTAAAATAACGGCATTCTTTTGCCTCGGTAACAGTATGATCTCTCCGAGCGCTTTCTAGTCACAGGATGTGTTTATATATTACGTTCTCATCTCCAGATTACCCACACTGCTCCTGTCCGAGTGCGTGCTGGTCTACATGACGCCCTTCCAGTCCTCCAACCTAGTTAACTGGGCAGCGGAGACCTTCCACACCGCCATGTTCATCAACTACGAACAGGTAAACAAAACAAACACCCACAGCAGAAGAACACAGGTGTTGGCTTCTGTTATCCAAGTCACAATACAAGGAAGTACCTGGTAGTAGTAAGTTTGTAGTCAGTTGTAGTAACTATTGGAAGCTGTAGGCTTTTAAAAACTTCAGTTTTCCTCATCATGTGTGGCAGTTAGTGGATAAAACTTCAACAAACTTATCTGCAGTTTGCACGAGGGAAGGTGTTTGAAAGGACAGAAGCGCTTGTGTGTTTAAGCTGAGATTCAGTATTGTAGCTTTTCTCAGGAACACCACGTAAGACTTCATCCATCCAACGTTGTCCGTGTCTCCAGGTGAACATGAGCGATCGATTTGGCCAGGTGATGATCGAGAACCTGCAGCGCCGACAGTGCACCCTGGCAGGAGTCGAGCTCTGCCAATCCCTGGACTCTCAGGTATTCTCTAGGGTTCAATACAAGAAAAGTAAGTGAACCCTTTGGATTTACCTGCAGTTATGTGTAGATTTATCTTAAAATATGATCAGATCTCCATCGGAGTTCCAAACAGATACTAAGATATGAACAAACACGATCTGTTTTAACTAATAACTCATGGTGAAGAGTGATTTGAGGGTCTCTTGCTCATAGATCTGTTGCTCGGTGATTTATTTTGCAGAACATCTAGATATCATACTGTTCATGTGTGGTGTTTGCAGAAGGAGCGGTTCCTGAAGGCCGGCTGGGAGCATGCCGATGCGCTGGACATGATGACGATCTACAGCATGCTCCGTCAGGACGACGTGGCAAGGTAACGAGAGACTTAACATCGCCCAGTATCCGTCAGATTTACTGTACGATTTATACGTTTTCGTCTTTCGTCTCACACATTGTGATCAGTTCTTCTCGCCACAGTTGTCCCATCCTCACTTTTTGATCCTCTTATCATATATGATTGTTCAGAGGGGTGTTGTGTTTACCACCTGTTGCCAGAGCGCTGTGAGCTTAAAGGGGCATTCCACAGATTTTAAGCAAGATTTTCACACGAGATGAAATACTGATGAAATACCACATTTTCTTAATTCCTTGCAGAATTGAGCGACTGGAGTTCCTGGACGAGAAGGAGCTGCTGCAGCAGCTTCTTCAGCACTACAGCATCAGCTGGGCCGCCAAGGACAAACTCAACCTGGGTAATGGGTCATTATGTTTCTGTTACACCTCATGAATACTAATTACTGTATACATAAGCTGATGTAGTAAGTCCCTCAATTCAAAGATCATTTCTGACATCTACGGCGCCACGTTGCCTGTCACTTTATTTACTTTGTGTTACTCATATGTGTTACATTTTTTTCATATTTCCATCCAGCCGCCCAGTTGGAGTGTCTGTTGTGGTCATTTACAAGAACGGGTCATGTTCTGTTTCCTCAGGTCTGTCGCAGTTGGCATTTTGAGTGTGGAGCTGCTCCGCTGTTAGGACGTGCTTAACAAGTGTGTTCGCCAAAATCAACAGCAGGGGGAAGATGTTGTAAAGGAGTTACTGGGAAAGAGGAAACCCATATTCTCAGTTGTCTGGGAGTTGCTCCGCTTGGAAAAAACTCCCGGCATCAGCAGAATGTGATTTCACAAGCGTCGTTTGTAACCAAGTCCGTGTTGAAGATAAAGAGGTGACGAGGTCGAGAACTGTGAAGAGGTTTGTCACTACACTGGCACTGGATTACCAACAGTATAATCGATCATGTTTCTCTTATTAATTTGCTTCCAGGCAAATTAACAGTCACAGAAATATTGTTTCAAACTCTGCTCATTTGTCCTCGTTTGGATTTCATGTGCCATTTTAATTTTATTTATTGGTGAACTAGCACTTCCAGGCTCATTAACTCACGAACATACTGCGCATGCAATAACTCGTGTCAAACTGCAAGAAATACATTACATTCATCTACAGGCCTTTCAGATCTTTTCTATTCTTGCCACTAGTTTTCAAACAGTACAGAGGACATGACAGATTAGTTTGTAATAGATTATATTTGACGAATGCTGTTCAAGTGCAGTTGAATAAAAGTTTCCTTTTGTGTAAGACAATGTCTACATCTTTGTTCATGTGTTTTGTTTTGCACTTCATATCAAAATATCAGTTAATATCCGTTAATATTAGTTGGGTTATCTGCAGTGGAAGGGACGAGCTGAGGGAACATAGAACATACACAGTGTAGATAATCCTGATCGAATCTAACGCAAGTGAAAGTTGTTCACTAAAAGTTTTACTTGCTTACTTTTAAAAATACCAAAGTATTCAGAAATACATTATCAATGTCAACGCATTGTATTGATCCACAGCGCATTTACAGAACATAATGACTCTGAAACAACCGACTGAATGAAGTGACCAACTGTAGAACCTGCAGAATGAAAGGCTTGTACAATATGCAACAAAGCCCGTAGACATGGCCATGAAAACACAACTGAATCAACAGAAAGAGGCTGTTGCTGTCGTTCTAATATTTCTCTTTTTGTCAGCAGTGATGACGTTCGGTCTTGGTAAACACAGCAAATATTTAAAACGAAAGAAATTCATTTCTATTTATTTCTAAAACTTCCAACATGGACTTCGGATAAGGCCGTGGTGCTCCGGTGAAGAATCTTCTGCCTCGTCTTTTATCTAACGTCGCCATCGCTGTGATTGTGTTTTCTCCTGTGATGAACACAGCGACAGAAATAAAAAGAAAACTCATTCCACTGACTGAAAGCTCTGCTTCACAGTGTCGAGTGTTTCATAGAAATGTAGTGGAGTCAAAAGTACAATATTTGTCTTTTATATGTAGCGGAGTAAAAGTCATACGTTTCCTAAGAAAAAATACTGAAGTAAAGTACAGATACTTATATATATATATAAGTAGTTGTACTTTGTTACAGTCCATCCCTGGTTTTTAGTTACTGAATATCTACCAATAGACAATTGATTATAATGCATAAAGTGTTTTATTAATTATCTTACATTCAGCTTTTCTCAGAATTGAGTTTCTCACAGTTTCTAGTATTATTCATCTCATTGTTTTGGTTTTATGTCGCAAAACTTTTCCATAAAGTTTAAAGTTCACACACTCTTCAGATGTGTTAGAATGAGTTAACTGATAAAAAAAACACACAAATGTTCGGTATCAGCCAAACCAAACAAGTGTTTTCGTTGCGCTTCTGAGTAACAAGACACCAGTCATCCTCATCTGATTATCTCTATGTGCTCGTTCTCTGACAGTACTAATAATTTTATGAGCTTCCACTGATGGAGTGCCAACAGTCTGGGGAGTATAAACAATTGCAGGAAGGTGGGGCATCGCAGAAAAAAAATGTGGATGTGCGTATGTCCTTTATGCATCATCCCAAGAATGGCTTATATACATAAGTGTACATTCATCAGACAAATCCAGTGCAGGCTGTGGTCCACCAGTGGAACAAGTGATCCTGAGAAAATAAAAAAGAGTTTGTTTCCAAGTCAGCATGTCCGGGACAGAAACCAAAGCAGAGGTCTTCACGGTCGGTGGATTGGAAGCTCAGGAGGCAGAGAGAGGCTCAAGCAACGCAGACAAGAAGAGATGTTTGTATGAGCAGCATGTGCAGCCCTGTCTGGCCGAGCTGTTCGGGACCAGCCTGTTTGTGTTTGTGGGGTGTGCGTCTGTGGTAGGGAACGTGGGAATAAGTGGCGTCCTCCAGCCTGCTGTGGCACACGGGCTGGTGCTGGCGGTGCTCATCACGGTGTTTGGACAAATTAGGTAAAGACTGATGACATTCAGTGTCTTTATGTGTTTTGAATGCTCGGTGTTCTTTGTCTTTGTGAGTTGATTTCTTGTTTTTTTACAATATTAGAAAGGTCTCCATGATGTTTTAGTTTAGTCTTGATTTAACAAAGTCCTCATGTTGTTGTTGTTATCAGCTCAGAGACACAGAGTTAAGTTGTCTATGTTTGTTGTAGTGGGGGGCACTTTAACCCCGCCGTGTCCTTGAGCATCTGCCTGTGTGGAGGGATGGAGCTGCTTCGGCTGGTGCCTTATATCCTGGCTCAGATGTGTGGAGGGATGATTGGTGCCGCTTTAGCCAAGGTAAGGAAATCTATGGAAGCCCATTTCTGCCAAAATAGAAGAAGAAAAAAAAATTTGTTTGGTAGAAATAAATAAATAAAAGTGAAAACCATTCTCTCTCCAGCCATGTTCCTCGTGCACTGGATGATTTATATTCAATTCGCTCTGCTTTCAGGCAATGTGCCCCACCAGCAGTTACGATGCTGCCCTCGGAGGAGCCCTTCACCCCGGCACCAGTGATCTGGGTAAAACCACGCTGGCAGAGGTGATAATGACTCTGCTCCTCACCACGGTGGTGTGCATGGGGGCCGTCAACAGGCAAACCCGCTCACCGTGGGCTCCCTTCTGCATCGGCCTCACTGTGACGGCCAACATATTTGCCGGGTAAGTGGCTCAGTAGGAATCAGTAGCAGTAGATTGGTGCTGAGGTCCAGAGAGTCACTCCCAGTCCTATCACAGCCTGGACAGCAGCCAGGATTTCATAAAAACTAAAGGTCACAAGAGCAAAAAGATATAAACTGTATATGTGTTTACTTGTATCTGATTAATATTAGTTAACACTTCGGTTATATTTTCTGCTTATCGTCACATAAGGAAATTTGTTTATATTCCCTTTTTTTAACAAAGATACTGTAGATAGATTGTTTTTCGAGAGAAATACTTATACAAGAAAATGATGTGTCCATTGAAATGAAGACATGAACTGACTGCTGCATGCTGCCAGGTGGCGACATACCATTATTCATATCATTACATTGTTTATCTGAACTCCTCCAGGGCATTCAGTTCAATCCCCAGAAAAAAACACAGATGACATAATGACAGCTCCAGCCCTGACGACAACATTCCTCTACTCGTGTATATATCATCACTTATCAGATGGATGCCAACATTCATTAAAGGTTTTATTTATTACCTTGACCGAGTTGGCTCACTGTCAGTTTAATGTTAACATCTGTCGAAGGACGGTTTTCACATCACTCAACAGCGAAGATTGATTGTGTTTCCACTTGATCCAAAGTTGGTCCCTTTGAGTGCAATTTTATCATCATTTAATTGTTATTATTGATGCATGAATGTGTAAGCAGTATTTTACTGTTGTACAAAGCATCATATTGAGTTTATTTTTAATAATTATATAGATAATTTGAGTTTTAACTATAGCTGTCAGATAAAAATAGTAGAGAAAAAAAATATAATATACTTAGTTATTTTCCAGACTGTCTTCATATTACAGTTCATTACACTGAATACTGTTTGTGTAATACTGTGTGTTTCTGCACACTGCACTGTTAACATCAAAAGCATAAAATTCTTACACGAGTCTTTTTCTAGCATAAGAATTAACTTTATTTATCAACTTTTATTTGTTATTGACAAAAAGTTTGTTAACGTTTTGAGAGCAGCTGGTGTTTCAGTGTTGGCCTCTGCTGCCTGTTGTTTCAGAGGGATGGTTTCTGGAGGCTGTATGAACCCTGTCCGAGCCTTCGGCCCTGCATTGGTCGCCAACCATTGGAACCATCACTGGATCTACTGGGTTGGGCCCACGTGCGGTGCACTCCTCACTGTCAGCTTCATCAGGTGTGTATATGTCAGAGAAACACTGGTAGGTTAAGATTCAGATGCTGCTTAACAGGCTTTCTACAGTTTTTGAACGCAATAAAACCTTAAGGTGATTATATGCAGAAAGAGCCAGTGTTGACCGTTAAAGGGACCCTGTGGAGTTTTTGACCACTGGTATTGCTATGGAGCAATGTTGTTATGAGTTGGATCTTAAATATTTAAAAAGAAAGGCTTTACAAATGTTTTGTGCAACAGAAAATGCAACTTGTTTGTAAGACTTCAAGGATATGCACATTGCGTTTTGGTACTACTGAATCCAAACCATGATAAAAACTCCACAGGTTACCTTTAAAGGGGCTATTTGTAAGTTTTCTCTGCTGCCAAATATGTTTTCCTGCCGGGAGCGAGTGGTGGTGATTGTTGCTTGACAAGAGCTTCGGCCATCGGTGCGTTTAATAAGACAAGACGTCTTCAGGGCGGGGCTGGGGCTAGCTGATTAGCATGCTAACTTGAATAAAAGAACATAACATTGGCGTTACTTTACTGGAGACAGCTCTTAGTGAGTAAAGGAATGAAGTTTGATGCTGAAACTTCAACGTTTCCTCTAGACTGGTAAGTAAACAGCTGTTAATGCTAACGCTAGCTATGTGGCAATAGTAAAATTAGGGGGCAAACCACTTGGATCTCTGAAGCTGTGCCCGTTCGGTGATCCATCATGTTCTTAACCTGATAATGAATCGTGTGCAGTGCCGTCACGATAGACCAGTAATTGAAGTATCGCTTTTTTTTGCAGGTTGTTGTTTGGTGACCAGAAAACTCGGGTTGTACTGAAGTGAATATCTAAAAGAGAGAAAGGAAAATCCTACTGACTTGATGACAGCTTTTACATTAACGAACATTTCTCCAACTATTAGATTAGAACATTTTTTAATTCGTCAGCAAAATGTGTGCAAATGTATTTGTACTTGGATCAGCTGTTACTGTTGGCAATGACATGTTTGTATTTCACGATTCAATAAAGTGTTTGATGATATGACAGGGCTTTGATCGCTACTCCAAATTTGGACTTAACATGTTTGATGCCGGATGGAAAAAGTCCACAGACATTTGGTCATAAATTTCCTACAATTTCATACAAATGATTATCTATAATTATCTATTTACAGTCTCTTTGTACTCATTGTTTGGGTCAAAGTCCTGAATGGAAAACCGTGCTTTGATAGTTTTATTACTTAAAAGAGGGTGCAAGGACAGGGCACCACACCATACAATAAAGCTAGATTAGAATCATAAACTGGTGTCTTTCAATCACCTAAAACACGGCAGCAAGTTACAATGAAAAGCTTCTTTTTTTTTTTAAAACAGAAGTATTTCAAAACTATACATATTATATGCATCCTGGAAGATGGATGATAATGGTTGTACTACTTAGTGTGCAAGACTGAAACAATCACACACAGAAACTGCATGTAATATTTTCTGCTGCATTAAAGATGTATGATAAAGTAATGCAGTCATGGATACAATCATATACCTGCAGCAGCAGCTTATTTAAAAAATACTGCAATAAGAATTAAAAGTTACACGTTTAAATACAAATTGACAAATTAAGGGACGAACCATCATAAAATACGGTGTTTGGCCTCTGTGACCCCAAAGGGATCAACACCATTTTTACAAAAAATATTCCCTTATTAGGCATCACTGGTGATAAAAGTTAGGTGAGACCCTTTAAGTAAAAAAAAAATAAAGCAGTACTATAATGTAAAAGTGTAAAAACACTGCATAGAAGTTTATTTAAGTAAAATTACTGAAGCCGTATCAGCAAGATGTTTCTAAAGTATCAGAAGCAGAAGGACTCGTATGATACATACCGTATACCGCTACAATATAAAGTTACAACAACAACTGGATCTGAAACAATGTATTTTATTTTAATAGGGAATAATGAATGAATTAAAAATCTTAATCTATTAAGTAACTAGAAACTATAACTGTTAAATAAATGTGGTGTAAAACAATATTTCTCTCTGAATAGTAGAAGTATAGAGTAGCATAGAAGGAAACATGCAAGTAAAGTACCAGGATCTGAAAATCATACTTGAGTCTAATACTGGAAAATGTACAAGGAAAATATACTTTCAAATGTGAAAACACTCAGTCTGATATAATGTTCATTTGTGCAGCATGAGCGTCACGCACTTAAATGTGTAGAGTGGAGAGCACTCGACGGCACTAACCTACAACAGTGTAAAGTCCTTGGTCAAGGTTTATCTTATCTATGTAGGTTACTACGGGTTGCTCCAGGTTTGCTCGTGCATCCAAATAAAATAAAATAATGGTGATGATGAATAAAAGACACGTCTTGAGCAGACAGACTGTGCTGAACCTTGAACGACTGATGCCTTTTGCACCCCATCATCCCTTTTACAAAAGGTCAATTTGAGGTCTCCTTCAAGGAGCTTGGCAGGTGTCAAAGAGAGGGATTGTATTGACATAATGAATCTTCACCTTTGATTTCTTTTATGACGTGTGATGCAATTCAAGTTCAGCGTGTCAGCTGCAGTGATGATTATAAATAACCACATCACCTTGGCCACTGCACTTGATACAGTCTCCTGCAGACAGGGTCCGGACTAAGTGCTGCAGGCACACAGGCAGGCTAGCACCAACATCTCTGAGCCATCTGTGAGCATTAACCCTGGAACAGAAGTAGAGTCCAACGAGAGGGGAGCAAAAAAAAATGGGAGTTGAGAAAATGGAAATGGAAGACACAGACTCTACTCTTATGGAGAAAGGCAAGAAACCACCTGTGTCCAGACCCCCCAACAAATATGAGACGCTGTTCCAGCCCTGCCTGGCCGAGATAGTGGGGACCATGTTCTTTGTGTTCATTGGCTGCGTGTCCGTCATCGAGAACGTGCCAGCAGCTGGACGGGTGCAGCCGGCTCTGGTGCACGGGCTGGCTGTGGCGGTGATGGTGGCGGTCATGGACAACATCAGGTAAGAGAGTAAAAAACAGAATCAAAATGCTGTTGCATTTACACTCGGAGTATCGCTGTGTTACCTTTGCCACATGATGATCAACCTGGGCCGTTCAGAGGACTCATGCATGGAGTGGAATGGGTCTCGTGCAGTTTGCTTGATCGCATCTTCTTAAAAACAGCTTCCAATTTTGCTTTCAACTTTTTCTTTGTCGCTTCTTTCCTTCCTTCCAGTGGCTCCCATTTCAACCCCCCCTTCACTATTGCCATCTACCTGTGCGGAGGCATGGAGCTGATGATGGTGGGGCCATATCTTGTCAGCCAGCTGATTGGAGGAGTCCTTGGAGCAGGAATGTCCAAGGTCATTGGAGAATGAACCACATACTAAGAGTGACACTTCTGGACTGATGTATATTTGGGCTCTTTTGTGCGCTAACATATGAAAGGTAATTAAAAGTGTTATCTGTGTCTTATAGTTAATGACCCCTGCACAACGCTATCACAATGCCACAGGAGCAGCGTTTGATATCCTCAAGTCAGAGAGCCAGCTGTCCGGGGCCATCTTTGGGGAGGTGGCTATGACCTGCATGGTCACCATGGTGGTGCTGCTGGTGGCAGTCAACAAGAAGACAAAAACCCCAATGGCTCCTTTCCTGGTGGGCTGCACCGTCATCATCTGCATCCTGGCAGGGTGAGATAAAAGGTTTATTGAGCCTGTTAAACATTTACACCCAATTTTTAAAAGTGACCAGCTCCCCCTCAAAAAGTCAGTTACTACTTCGAGATCATTTCAGCCCAGAGTCATGATATTATCAGCCAAATGATAAGAACTGACTGAACTGAGTAAAATGTTTCCAAAAAAAATTAAAAATTAATCAGATTAATGAGATGAGAATTTTGGCCTTTTACAAACTAAAAATTTGAGATTTCTTTAACATTCATCTTATCAGAGACAAACAGGAATTTAGGTTAATTTAATTTAATTTAATTTAATTTAATTCAGGGGTCAATCCTTCATAAATTCTATTATTTTTTTCTTACATTTTAAAAAAGATTGTTTCAACATAAATTAACTTTCATCATGATTTGAAAATCATTATTTTATAAATTGATTTATTATTATAATATTATTATTATTACATGTTATAGGTATCTTTTTTTAATCAATATCTCTGATCCTACCACCAGAAAAATGATCAAATGTGTACCCATGACAATCTGGCTCAGTTTGACTGTATATGAATATATTTTTTATATAACCACATTATTATTATTATTATTATTATTATTATTATTATTATTATTATTATTATTATTATTATTATTATTATGTTGTTTTTACTGCTACAGTTGAGTCACCAAAGACGTTTTTAGATTTTAACAGACAAAAACGTCAAATCATATTAATGATTAACAAGTCGCCTGCTTTTCTTGATGGTGTAGGGGTGATGTATCAGGGACGTGTCTGAACCCTGCCAGGGCTTTCGGTCCGGCTGTGATGGCAAACTACTGGACCTACCACTGGGTCTACTGGGCCGGACCCATAGGAGGAGGTCTGGTGGCTGCTGCTTTGCTCAGGTAAGAGAAGCCAGGTATCACTGGATGTTGCGATTGAATAAATGAATAAATAAAATGACGTGAGAGAAAACAGAGGATTTACAGCGTCTCACTTTCTTCTATTTCAGGCTCATACTCGGTGATAACAAGTTACGAGTCGTTATGAACTCATAACACCTTCTAGCCCGTTTATTGCCCAGGCGACAATAAACCTGTGAACAATGTCTGTCCGGTCATCAGTTTTGAATCATGTCATAATGTCATGTTCTCAATGTGTAGTTTTCTTTCTTTTTATGTCAAATTGTATGATCACTGTGTGGATTTTTCTGTATGAAATAAAAGATAGAACATGTTTGATCTCTTCATTTGTTCCTCTGCTCATAAAAACACACAAAAAAACTACCTGTAGACTTTATAGGCTGCTGATCCTTGTGCAGGTTTGAAGTGATAAAACATTTCAGGAGACATAAAAGACACCGTTGCATGAGTTTTTGGCGGCATGCTATTTATTCTTTCATTTTTCACCATTGGTTAAATGGTCGTGTGTGGAAGACCGCATTCTCCGCTCAGCGGTACCTCTCAGAGAGAGACATGGCCAAGTTGGACAGGAATTTGTCCAAGGCGACGTGGGCCTCAGGAGTGAATTCCTTAGGGAACATGATGGAGATCACCACGAGAAGGCAGTGGGACAGCAACTGTGGACAGAGGAAACAATTTCATAGAAAAACATTTGGTTTCCACTGCAAAAATCGATCTTAACAATTTAGATAATTTCAATAGAACAAGACAAAAGTGTGTCACTTCCACTTCCCTTCAAATTAATCTTAACTTTATTCTGAAACACGATCCAAGTAGAATCCCAACATGTCTCTGGAACATGTCATTCTGTTATCACATTTCTTTCGGTTGTATAACAGAAATTAAGACTTAAAACTGCGAGTGAAATTGAATGGCTTGTTAAATGTATTCCCCTCCCAAGCACTCATGCGTAATTTGTGCGTAAACCAAGCTGCCCCCGTGCGTAAAGGTGCGCACAAATGTTAATGAGAGAAGATTATAACTTTTGCAAAATTTGAAAGTAACTACTAGAATATGATTTTAGCACAAAACTGATATCATGATATCCTGATGTGCATATGATGTAAGGGACCCCTGGCTCACCTTGAAGTTGGCCGGATCCACTCTCATCTGGAAGGCGTGCTTCTCACTGAGATCCAGCAGGCCGTTGGTCAGGTCGTCGATCTTGGACACAGCCAGACTTACTCCACTCATCACCTTCTTTCCGTGGCCTTTCACGGTTGCAGAGCCGGGGCTCAGGTCGGGCCAGTGGGAGAAGTAGGTCTTGGTTTGCGGATAGACGCTGAGCATCCTGTGCAGATGGAGGGAAAGTGAAGTGGTGTGTTGGGTGTGTTGGAGAGCTGAGTCAGCTGAGCGTAAAACAAAGCAACAGCACTGAGCTCACTACATTTGCGACGGTATTGCGACTCCTATTCACTTTGTCTGTACTGCCATTTCGCAGCTTATGTGCTCCAGTGGCGCAATCGGTTAGCGCGCGGTACTTATAAGGCAGTATCCAGCGGAGTGATGCCGAGGTTGTGAGTTCGAGCCTCACCTGGAGCATAGGGTTTCCTTTGGTTATAATTACAAAATAGAAACACTACTGAAAATCCTTGTCTGCCCATCCTGTATCTGTGGTCTGAAAATATGTTTAATGTCTACGATGACTTACTCCTTAACGATCTCAAATTAATCTAATGATTTAGAGCGCATGAGCAATGCACAGGATTATCACTTTTTCTTTTTCTTTTTTGTTAATTTGGATTGACTTCACGTTGTTACTTGATAATCTAAGCGAAGCAGTCACCAAAGAAACATAATTCACCTAATAAGTGTTCCTAAGTGAGACAATATCACAGGTTGGAGCCGAGATTTTGTTGCACCGATTCTCCATTAACAAGAGCCGTGACATGAGGTCTGCAGAATCAAAGTAAAAAAATAAAAAAAAACATGGCATAAACTATCTCTGGTTTTAATTTGAAATACGAGTAAACAGGACACTCACCTGCTCACAGCATCAGCTCCAATTGCATCTGCTGACTTGGAGATTTTGCCCCACAGTGCCTTGACTGCAGCCTTGTCTTTCTCAGTCAAACTCATGTTGCTTCTCTCTCTTTCTCTACCTGATGGCGATGCCCGGTAAGTTTGGACTTCTACTTAAATTCAGTTGGCTCCGCAGTCCCACCCACGGGAACGGATGCCAAATCGCGTCCACTGACGCAGATGGGACCCCTTCATCCACGCCCAAAAGAACCTTCAGTGGCCGGATGCCAGCCTGAGAGGTGGTATCAGCTGGACACATCGTGGGCGTCAGTTGGCAAGAAATGTGATCATTTACATATCAGGTGCAAGAGTCTGCACATGTGATCGTATGGTCTGACATATAGAAGTTAGAGGTGAGGCAGGGTTCACTGGGAGGACATCTAAGGTCACAGGAGTCAGGAGCAGAGATGTCGGGTGCAGAAACTCAGAGACATAAAACAGAGCGGGAAAAATAGTAATGATAATCAAATTAGCAGCTCACACGTGCATAGAGGGATTTACAAGACTAATCACCCGATTTAAGTTTTCAGACACATTTTCCACCTGAAACAAGTTAAGCTCAGATGAAAATGCAAAAAAAAAAAACCGACAAAAAACAACAAAAAACTCATGATTTTACATTTCCACGAGCTAAAGGCCTGTGGGTGCTTGTTCACCAAATATCAGTCAGCAGAAACTCTTGCACCACAGAGGGAAAGTTCAATATTTTCGTACAGAGTGAGAACTCTCTGTTGACGAGCTTGTTTTTGAAGTGTCCCTCAAGTTATTCCAACACAGACCAAACACAAGATATTAGGTTTTAATTCTGTTATTTTTCTTTTTTTCTATGGTTCCAGACCAAATCGACACATTTGACCCACGAGGTGCATGTTGGGGGATTTGTTTAATCCCCACATAAAAAAAAAACTGCGTTTTATTTATTAAGATAGAAAAATGTTGTAGGTCATTTAAGGATACAGGTTTCAGAAAATCAGATGAGAGATTGGAAATGCTGCAAACAAAGGACTGCAAAACTATTCTGCTAATAAACATGTATTTTACGTTAACCACATCAGGCTGCAACGCATTAATTATTGCATTAGGAAATTAATTTGAAAAAAAGAAAGATACAACCTTATCATGTCGCAGCTGTGTAAATCATACAAGATTTATCAGTGATTTAATTTTTTTAATTCCACCATTTTTTCTTTTTTGGCTCTGGTCGTTAATGTGTTTCCTATCATGGGGGTGAAATATTGCTCCAAACCTTTATCACCGAACTCAAGTATTTTCTTAATCAAAACATTTGTGGATGTGGGCAGCGAGTGTGTGGGTGGAGGGGGCGCTGCTGCAGATAACGCCAGTGTGGCTTCAGAGATAACACAACACTCTGCCGCAGCCTGGCAAACACGCACGTTTGGCTGAATTTACTCATATTTAAAAATTCAGACTCACTGAAGTTGGTTTTCATGATTTAAGAGAAGAACACGTGCCTATATTTGATTTTTTTTTTTTTAGCCTCTTATGTTTGTGATATACAGCAATAAATGCAATGCAACAATTTAGTTTTTACAATCTTTGACAAATATTAGACTAATATGGATATTGATATTTATATTGAAATAAATCTGGATTCTTACACTTGTTATTCATTGTTTCTCAGGCTGTTTTCACTGAAATATTAACACATGTAAGTTGGTATTTTAACAAATAATGAATGCATTAATAATGTGGTTTCCCTATGAGTGAAAAGTTATGGCCTTAACTTCAATAAATGATGATTTAATGTGCAATAATACAGCTAAAAGAGCTCGGTGAAGTAGTTTCTGGTTCAGCTCTGGTTCTTGTAGTGCAGAACACAAGGCCTGTGCTGCCGGTTAAATGAGGTTAAAGGAGCAGAGCGAAGGCTGCAAAGACTTTGCCAAAAACTGAATTTAAACAGTTGAATGTTCAGTTTGTCCTGATTTGAAATTCTGTTTGGAAACGTATTAATTTCAAACAAGAAATTACAATTAAATAAATATATTTAATGTTCTAATTTGCAGTTTTTCCTTCACATGCACAAAGACCTGATCTGTTCCATAGTTTGACTCTGTATCTAACAGCTTTCAATCGCCCCTGTAAACCTGCATCTTGCAAAAGTAATCGCCCTCTCAAATTTGGCTTGTGCTCATATTGCTCGACATTGACTCCAAAAAATTTTTTGACGTGAATCTTTGGCATGTCTACAAATCTGTAAAGCGATCAAACCAATATCAAAACATCCAGAAACTTCTGGAGACTTCTGCGGTTTATCTGAGACGCTTCATCTCCAGCCTATCACAGCCGTCCTCTCCTTCAGGGCGGGGGGGAGCTCGGAGACATTTAAATAGACGCTCTTCGGACAGTTGCACTATTCAGCGTTTTTGTTTTTAAGCCTGAACACAAAAAAACAAGAGCAGCCATGGTTGAGTGGACTGAGCAGGAGCGCAGCATCATCAGCGGCATCTTTGCCAACCTGGACTATAACGACATCGGCCCCAAGGCTCTGTGCAGGTACGGAGAACATTGCTCTTCAAATGCAACTGCAATCATTTGCCTGTAGCTACATTTTGTGAAGAATGCATTGAGAATTATTTCATCCTCCTCCTGGCGCCAACTCCCTGCTAACTTCTCACCTGACCCCCCCTCGCTGCAGGTGTCTGATCGTTTACCCCTGGACTCAGAGGTATTTCGGCTCCTTCGGAAACCTCTACAACGCTGAGGCCATCAAGACCAACCCCAACATCGCAGCCCATGGAGTGACGGTGCTGCACGGTCTGGACCGGGCTGTGAAGAACATGGACAACATCAAGGCCACCTACGCCGAGCTGAGCGAGCTGCACTCCGAGAAGCTGCACGTCGACCCCGACAACTTCAGGGTAAAGTTTCACCATCCTGAAACTTTTTCTCTAATGAAAAATCTTACACTTCACTTTATCATCACAGAAAAAAAAAGCTTTACACCACAGAAAATATTAGAGAAAAATCAAAGGGAGCAGACTCATATTTAAATCTTGGCTTATGCACAAACATTTTAAAAAAGCTTTTCCATGATGCTTAATTCACTTATGACCACAAATCCACGTAAACGAATATAAAATGACATAAAATACACATGTAAAAGGCATCTATTGACCCCCTCCCCCCTCTCTCTCTTTGTACAGCTGCTGGCTGACTGTCTGAGCATCGTCATCGCCGCCAAAATGGGAGCCGGCTTCACCCCAGACACCCAGGCCGCCTGGCAGAAGTTCTTGGCCGTGGTGGTGTCCGCTCTGGGAAGGCAGTACCACTAAACCCCAGCAGCCTCCGCCCCTGGTCACCCGAGGGAGATCTCTAACGTCTGTTCACATGTGTTATGTGTCTCCTTCATGAAGAAATAAAAGCCCACTAAAGCAAAGCTGAGCCCACTTGTTTGCTCAATTTCTTCTTCGTAATTACGCACAGCCATAGGTTTGGTAATGGCTGGACCCTAAACCGCCACAATACTAATTCAACATTATCAAAATCAAAAATATATATATCAGATTAGTGATACTTTGTAATACTGACAGGATTTATAGTGTCTTTATTGGAGGTTTAAGGGGGTTTATAGTTGTCATTGCATTGCAATGTGAGGGGCCATTGGGGGCCTCAAACATTTTCCTGGTTTGCCTCTCCTGACTGTGAACCTCTGCTGATCAGCGTCAGTTTTTAATGTTAAATTATTCACATGTAAGCCACTGTGGTTCAGGTTTTGTATTTATGCATTGGACTGGAAGGCCTTGCAGGAGACAATGTCGCCTTTTCCTTCATGTTATATTAGCAAATCCACCTAATATTCACTGTACTGGCTCAGATGACAAGAAAAAATTAAACGGACTTAACTTTGATTTAAGGCAACATATTGGAGGATCGGTATGAGGTCAAAGGGCGCATCACAATGGTAAAGCCTAAGATACTACGGAGTTGACGATATCCGTCCATATGCATCACGTCCTCACCAATATCACATCTACTGTAGAAAGCACCATGTCATTCATCCCAATATTCAATATCACTGCGCAAAAATATGAGGACTTAGAAACAACTGAAGGTGTAACTAACATCAACAACGTCAGCTAAGGACTTTAAATCAACCATTAAATGTTAAGTAAACTTGTTTCGATGCTGCACAGTTTGAACTCTCGAGAACCAGAGTTCACAAGAGTTCACGAGTCATTCTCAACCTGTAATGACTTTTCTTTGTGCCTAGGTTTAACTATGATATTTAAACATTTCAAATGTGAAATGAGAATCTCTCTAAACTTGGGCAAGAGAAAACTTACATTTTTTATCTTATGTTTGTTTTTTAGGACAATGTGTATTTGTTTCTTCTATATTTACATTGCACTGTATGTTTTTTTATTGCGCAAATAAACCTCTCAAGGTGTTTTCACTTGTTAGATCACATTTCTTGGAACGAGCTATTTTTCAGAATATTTTTAACAAATTATGCTTTTATTAAAAAATGATAAGAATGATTAGAGACTGTGGGCGCAGACTCTTTGTATATGCAGACTGAAGGAATCCTCATACTTATTGTGTTTTTTAGGGTCAGCTGAGGACAAAGGGGATCACATGAACTCACCACACATTTCGACTATCTCAGATTGCAGTTCGAAGCCGATAAGAGCTCCGACCCTCCCGATGCCTCAGTGTGAAGAATGACGGTCAAAGCCACACGACACCTGACCCACGAGAGAAAAGCAAATAAGGTGAAGAAACTAGAGTCATTAACTTCAACAGGCAGAGAGAGGAGGACATATTATCTGCCATGTTGAATGTTGATGCATTTTATTTTAAACCATCTTTTGTTTGTGCTTTCCTTTCACCACCGAATGATTTGTGGCTGCATGAGAGGTTTGAGAAAGCTGACTTCATAAAAGAAAAATGTCTTAGTGGAAAGTAAAACTAAAACAAAAACAATTCAAAAACTAAAACCTAATTCAATTTTAATTAACTAGCCCATGGAAACTTTAATGGACATTAAAATCAAAATGTTCAATACTTGATTGCAAAATCAGCAATATTTTCTTGACCCCGCCCACTGACCCCGGCCGCCATAGATCCCGCGTGAGATTTGTTTTTCAAGTTTATCAATACACCCAGACAAGGTGGTGTAGCAATAAGTCACAGCGTGTAACTTCCTGTTGAAACCAGCAGGTGGCACCATTTGAACGTGTCATGAAGGTGGACTTGAGGACTAGTTGGCATTTCACTTTTTATTTTTGCAGTCGGCCAAGGCAAAATGAAACGTTTAAGCATATTTGAATCATGCTTCCACAAAATCACAATCACGTAGGCATAAGTCACATTACACGAGTGTGTTTTTGATTTTACTGGTCTCTGTGGTTTCTAATATTCTTGTGGTAAATGCAGTAATTCTGATGTTAATGGTCTGGAGTTCTTAATGGAACAACTAGGAAATAAGAAGATCCCAAGGTTGTCTTAAGTATGCTTCTTTCCCCAGAGCATCACATGTGTATTTTCAGCACCAGAGACAGCTCAGCATTTATAAAGTTGATTTCAGCACCAGAGACAGCTCCGGAATTTATTACACATTTATTTAAGCACGAGAGACAGCTCAGTATTTATTACAACTTAATTTCAGCTCCAGAGACATTTCAGTATGTAACATTGTTAATTTTCTTTAAACCAAGTTTGAAAACAAGACCTGCACTTAAAAATACATTTCTAAAGCTGAATACAGGCAATAGTGGAAGATTACATCTACTTCAAAGCAAGACAATGCAACTCTTGGTGAACAGCGGCCTCTGCAGCCAGAAGTGGCGACTACAGAACGCTGGTGCATTAAATTCTGTTGGGTTCCAAACATGAGCGGTTATGGATACTGGAAGCAGCATACAGCTCGAAGCTAACAACTCTTGCACAGAAAAACAAAGCCTATCAATGGCTCAGGGAACAAACACAAAATCATCCTCTCAGTACAAACTAGCAATGACGTTGTCCACTCATGTCAAGTCAGCATTCAGCTAATGTGATTGACCAAAAACATCTGAACCCACAGCCGTTGTGGGCTAAAATGCAGATGCTAGGAGCTAGTGTCTTTGCCTTGTTGCATATTGTTGCTTTAGGTGAACTTATGAATTGCATTGTTTGCAGTCTGAAGTGTAACATACGTGTCCCTGCAGCCTCTCATGTCTCAGCTCTCCTGATTACTGCAAATGCCTCCTCTCTGAGACATGGGAAACAAGCAACACAGCAATAAACAGCTGGAACTAAACCAAACACAAAGAGGAGAAAAAAGACAGATTAATGAATACAGAAAATACTTGCAAAGTAGATTATGGAAAATATGATTAGAAATAGCATCAGGACTTAAATTGGAGTTACCTTGTTTTGCTTGGCTGTCAGCAGCATGGCTAATGCCTCGTCACCTTCTCCTGCTGTCTGTCAAGCTGCACAGGCAGGTCTTCAAGTTCACAACTTTAGCTCAGAGGCTCCTCATATTCTTCTGTCTCTATCTTTACAGTCACAGTCTCTATTTCTGACTCCACTGATTCCTCTTCTGACACCGAGTCTATGGACAGCTCCTCTGAGACTCCAGAGGCTCCTGATATGACTCTGACCTTAAACAAACAATTATAGAAAAAAAGGGAGGAATACAGGAGGAAAATGAAAATCTTAAGTGCCAAAATAAAACAATTATTTATTCTGTTAACCCAAGTACCTGTCAGCATCTGTGGCTCTCTAAGTGTCATAATAGCTGCTTGAATCTCCACCAGGATAAGAGCACGGGTCATATCTAAACCCCTTGACCAGTGTGTAGTTTGCAGTCACAAAATTAAGAGGAAAAAGTGTAAATGTATAGCTGTGAATAAACAACACAAATATGTAAAAGCTGAGCAAGAAGAGACAATTACTCATGTTTCAGGATTCCCACATTCACTTGGAATGACATGATTTACATGTGGCTCAGTCTGGCAACCCACATCTTTATGAACTTTAGACTAAGAACTTTCAAATAAGTTAAAACACAAATATTGTGCCTAACTTGACTGATATTAATATATTGGATGTGTAGAAAAGATATTGATTGCCTTTACAGTAATTACTATAAATGTATGCTTGGAATAAAAATACAATCATGGTTTCCCTTATACTCTTATCTAATTTGTACTATACAAATGTTTGTATATGTCTATTTTATATTGTGGCCAGTAGATGTCGCACTGTTCAAATGAAGCATAAAGAAATTAAGCTTTTCTCGATCCACTTTGATGGACTGGTTCAGCTTCAGGCACATCCCCAGCACTCACCGGCCGACCCTCCGGAGAAGTTGTCTTCCGTCAGATGCGGCCGGACGGCAAAGCCCATCTGAGCCTGGGTGTAGTTGGTGAAGCTCTCCGGGGAGAAGTGGAGGATGCAGACTTTCAGCCCGGTGGTCCGAGCGTCCTCTGGCAGCCCGAGGATCTGCAGCCACCGGAGAGCCCGCACAGGGTCGGCGGGGAAAGACAGCAGCTTGGTTGTGCTCTTACAACCCGGGAAATTACATGAGGTCACCATCTCGGTAAACCGCGGGAGTCTTACTAGCTAACCAAGCTACAGTTCCCCAAACAAGCTAACAACACTACAACTGTTGCCATCACTGCAACTCCGAAAAGTTGACCTAAACACGAAAACAACGATATATTATATTATATATTCTGAACACGCATTATAAACTGTTAACATTATACACATAATTTGTGGCAAATGCACTTTTGTATAAGTTATAGACATTTATTCCATATTTGTAAATAAAGCGAGTTTGTTAGGTAAACTCCTCCTCTACAGCGACTTCCTCGTTTTCTTCTTCGTCGCATGAATTCGGGATAGGAAGACTCAATACCGCCATCCACAGGACTGATGTGAAGTGTCAGTATTCTGTATGTTTCCCACCTGTTCCATATCTTCTTTCATAACGTGTTTTTGTTGATAAAAGCTGTCATTTAAAGTTAAAGTATTTTACATTGTTTTTTTTTCAATTCTGCATCTGTGTCTAAAAGTTATAAAAGGAAAACGTAACCCTCCCTTCGTCCCTCCTTTCCTCCACATCTCCTGCACAGCGGCGAGCACGCGGTCACAGCCCGTCACGTCAGAGAGGCACGCAGCACCTCCCAGCGCCTAAACTTTTCCCGTTGTGGCGGTTTTGGTTTTCCTTGGCTTGTGTTGAGGTGAGTGGTGATGAACGAGGGGACTGAGCTGCCAGTGCCTCGAGTTCAAAGCGAATTAGCCAAAAGACAAAAACAAATATAGCTAACTTGTGTCTTGCAAACGTACACACATTAGCTACTTGGCTAATGTAATAAGTTAATTAGCTAAGGTTAGCTCTCTTTTTCTCACTCGTTCAGTCCTTTTAAAGACAAATAAATGTTCTCTAATATCATTATTTATCATGGTAGGCATACAGGCTAATGTACTGTACTTAAGGGGAGACACTACAGGTGAACATAGTAAAATTTGTATCTAATAACCATGTTTATCTGCAAATGAGGCGTTAACCAATTAAAATGCGCTAATTTGCATACATTTGCCAAGGCACTGCATGTGAATAGGATAAAAACAAATACCACCTTAATATGTATTGTAGAGGTTTTCTTTCCATTGGTGTGAAAGAAGAAGTTATGGACGCTAAATAGACTGAAGTCTCAAAATTGACCAGTACATGAAAAAACCTGCCTGTAGTGTCCTGCCTTAAAAAGTAACTGCATCATTTTAATTGTAGGCTCCTAATTTAATTGTTCATTCTGTTGGTTTGTTATATAATAGATCGTCATCAATGACAACAGATACATGGTAAAGACAGCCCTCCCTCAAATATGAAGGGAAGAAATTGCAGGTACACAGTGTAACAAAGTCATTTTGTGTGATGTGCAAAAATAAACGAGTTATTCTTGAAAATTCTTAGTTCACTATGTCCCTCTCCCTGGTGCAGTCAGGTATTCTAAATATATACTAGAAACTAGTAGACTAGAAAACATGCACAATGTGCCATAGGTTCCTTTGTTGTTGCCTGCTCTTGTGATAAAACTAGAAATAGTGAATACTGAAGAAGACCATTGTCTCTGTGTGAGTTGATAATTTTGTAGAAATATGTTGAGTATTAAACATTATGAGAGGTGCCCTTTTTTGAGCACCTGCTCCCCAAAATGTCTGTGCACGTCCCTGAGTGCCTGAGACATGGCTATAAACTATATGTAAAGATACTTTCCATATAAAGTCTATGGTCACATTATTTTTTATGCATTATTAAGTCCTTGAAGATATATTGTTATACAGCATAACAAACTCTAGTATATTAATTGCACATTTTTATTATTACAAAACCTTAAACAATAACAACAACTACACAAACATAAATATTTCATATCATATAGCATCATAAATGTCTCGTATACTTCCTAGAAACACGTGGCTGAGTCTCATCTGTATTTCTCGGCGAGCACAGCTGCGAAGGCCGACAGGTACTTGTCCATGGCTGCATGTGCAACTGGTGTGAAGTCTTCGCCCATGTGACAGGCCAGGGTGACGAGCATACAGTGTGAGAAAAGCTGCAGGAGAGGTGAGGCTTTGTTACTGACAAAGAATGGATGAAGAGTAAATAAATGTGTATTATAAAACACGAGGATCCTTGGTTTAACATGGCTGCTGCTGTCAGTTTTGTTAACCTGTAATATATAGATGTCAAAAGTAATTGATTAAGGTTTTAAAATTAACTCTTTTTGTGGGTATTTCACTGTAAAAGCATGTTAGTGGCACATACTCCTCATGCCCGTCATTAGATCTCTTTGATAAAGAAAATGTGAATCAATACATAGACTTGATTTTCACGGTGATGAGGAAACATGCCCAGTTAAAAGCTTACAATTACAAAAAAAAATGTTGTGGTCTGGAGCAGCCGCAGGGAGTGAATCAGAAAACACTATTCCTATCCATCTATAATAAAATTCAGAATAACAATGATCCCTGCAGCAAACAAACAGCAGGTGACCACTCACAGCATTTTGTATCAGACCTCTTCTTACTGTCCACCTGAAGCAGTGTCATTTTCAAGCCCCCATGTTTGGGCCTCCCCACCACCTCCCGCTCACATCAGACAGACAGACTGTCCACAATGCTCTAACAACAAGGTTGCAGATCAGGCAGAATCTAGTAGCATGATACAAGTATTTTATATAGGAATCATTCGATTGTTGTGCAAATACTTAATATATGAAACCTGAGTTTACTTTATAGAAAAGATATCTCACATAAACACTGGCTTTGAGGAGGAGTTTGATTGACAGGTGGTTTTTGAAGCTCTAAACAAGTAGTCCTTCTAACTTCAGTGTGATTTGGTCTAATATGGATTGATAATGACTTTACATAAGAGAAACTTCATTATCATACTTCAGTAAAAACATTGGACGCTAAGAGACACACGTTTCAGTAAATAACCATTTCTCAGTGGAGATTAATCTGTATATTTTCTGCTCTGTCTAAGGACCAGCACCTTGAAGTTAGTTGGGTCTATCCGGAGTTGGTATGCGTGCAGGGTCTGCAGAGGGGCCAGGGTGACGGTGAGCTGACTGATGTCTTTGGCTCCCTCGGCTATGGCCAGGACAATCTTCTTCCCGTGAGAGAGCAGGTGAGCAGAGCGGGCACTGATGTCTAGATGGGAGAAGTACGTCTTGGTTCCTGGGTAAGAGGCGAACATCCTATGAGGAGGAGACGGGAACAGTGAAATGAATCTGAATGGCCGTTAATGGACTTCTGCCCGTGTTTGTGACCGAAATGCTAAAAGCATCAAAAGCTGCTTCTCATTTCTGCAACAATCATCACTGTCAACATCAGCATTATCACAGCACGCTCATTTGAACATTTCACATCACTGTTTGTAGATCACTGGCAGCATTTAGAAACCACTGAGGTTTGATGAATTAGCAAATTCTGATTTGTGAATCAGCATTAGTGTAATTGTAATTTACTTGCATGTTCTCCATGGTCCCACTTCCCCAAATATGCTGTAACTAATTACTTTATCAATGGTTAGTAAATCATTTACCAATGCTTTATAGCCATCTTTTAAAGTTATGGATATTAATAACTTGTTAATAAATGGTTATAGTCAATCAATTCTCCAGGAAAACATGTTGATAAAGTCATAAATAAAGGGTCACTTTTTAATACAACATCAGCAAAAGTAAGCAATGTCAATAGTTGGGGCCTAGATCTTCATTGATGAGCATTTATCAACACACATCAGACTTTTTTAAGCAATACTTCTGTGGAAGAGAGGCAGGTTACTTCTATTTGATCTGTTCTAACCATATATCATTTTAATATCTTTAATAATGTTAGATACACACGACATCTCCTGAGAGTTTATTCCAAATACACGTTAGTTTGCATTTTAGAAATGTCTATACAACAGAGTGTGAACCTACCGAAGAAGCGCATCTGAGCCAATATCTTCAGCCACAGGAGTCAGTCTTTCCCATATTTCTGCAATTAGCTTTTTCTCCCTCTTTGAGAGCATTGCAGCCTATTGCACTGAACAACAATTAACTGTAGCTGAATATCCAGAGTGTGAGACGGCTTTACAGCTGAGGTCAGAGAGAGGTTCACAACAGGTGACGAAGCTGTTAATCAACCATTTTATCACCACATTAATGCAGTTAAGCCAAACGCAGACAAAAATGGTGAGTAAAAGCAGTAACAAGTAACAATTCCTCCTATGTGAAGAAAGGGAGGTGTAATAGTAAAAGTCTGAGGCAGCAGCCTTGTTGTTTTCCTCCTCCGCCTTATCGGACAGCAGCCAGGGCAGGGCGGGGGCTGCACACCACCGCACTATCTGCTGCTTAACGTGCGTCACACTGGCTATTTCTACCATATCATTCATGCGGCTGACACTGAAAGTGCAGCTGGTGTGGGGTTCTCCACGTTCAGTTTAGGTGACACCATTTTTTTTTTAAAGAGTATTTAATAGGTTTAGATACTGCTTGTTCCTCTCGGCCACTCAATAACAACATGGATTAATGTAAAAAATAAAAATACTATTAAATAAAGTGAATTTTCTCTACTTGTTCCTCTCATCTCAGACAATAAACTTGGTCTACTTTAATTACTGTTAAATAAACAGGGATTTGGTGAGAGAGAAAAACTCTCAGCCTAAATATTTCTCTGTATTTTCTGACAGTTTCCCTTTCCACACCTTGACTTCGTAACAGAATATTATTACGTTAAGTGTGAGTAGCAGTAGTAATTATACTCTATATGAGTCTGAGGTTTCAATGCAGATGATGTTTTGCAGTTTGGAGCAGGCTTTTGCAGATAAAGTCACTCAGCTGCTGCTATCTGCAGCTCCATAAGCTGCTGGTTACAGGACAGTTGGCGTGAGGTCAGAATGCATTAGATACCATTGTCATCAATATAGCATGGCATTATAGAGAAGTTTACCTTTGCTGTCCACGTCCAGCTTTTGTCTTTTAATGAGGCATTTGAACTATACAGGAGCGCACAGGAGGATATTGAGAACAACCCATAAAGTGGCTGTGAAGAAAAGGAGTGCTGCGTTTTTGAGTGATAATCTTATTTACATGAGAGGTAGTCTATAATATAATGCTGGTGCCAGGCCCGAAGGTTTGCAGTGTGATAATCTGATTGAACATATGTTAATTTAGGAAATGTGACCTATTTCCACTAGTGTCAGCTGAAATAACAACGGTCTTCACACAGGGCCTCAAACTCAGGCAAACCAGCCTGTGTCATGCCAGTTTATATTGTGCTATAGTGAATATTCCCAACATAAAACATACAATTAATCATATTATCACATACCAAAACCCAAATAGTGAACCTGCACAAACAGGAAAGTGATACACACATACACACATATCAGCAGATCAGCTCTTGTTACGAAAGTAGGTTTTGTGGAGAACTGATCTGATGGACAATAGTTGATTGTCAATAATAAAACAAGTTGCAGAGGCAACACTTTTCAGGTGTTTTGTCAAAAGTAGAAAGAAAGAAATTCCACATGTTTGGAGGGATTAAAGCTGGAGTGAAATAACTGAGAGAAATCACAAAACTGACTCAACATCGCTGATCAAAACTGGCACCAACAGCGCCTTGATACTTTTCTGGTGATTGACAACCTCCTGGGCAACTTGGCTGCTGTTGACAGTAGTAGTAGAGTAAAGGCTCAGGGTGGGTGAGAGAGGGAAGTCTGTGCCTCTGAGGTTATCACATATAGGAACCTCCCATCATCTCCAGGAAGGCTGTGCAGTATTTATGTTGACCTTGTGCGCCCAGTGAAGCGATGAGGGCTGACTTAGCCTGACAAGATCTCATGTGGCCTGTGTAAGAAAATGTGCAGCCATGCTTTTATATCTACCATGTATCAAACACACAGATAGCCGTGTTTAACAGGACGTGTTTGTTTAAATTATATATTATACTAATACTATTTACAAGAACATGTTGTTTTGAGGCCTTAAAATGTATTTTAGTGTTGAGCATTTGCACTGCAGCACTTGGTCTAAAGTATGAACATGTTTGTCCAATAGGTGGCAGTGATGTGACTTTATGGCTGGTCTTCATAGAGAAACTGAACTGAACAAAGCATGATAAATGAGTGAATAATGTTTTACTGTAGTACTGAATGTGATTTAATGAAATCCCATCATGCCCACCTTAGACATGCTGACCTCTGGTCACTTAAAGGAAACACTTAACTTTTATTGATAACTTTTATGAGTTATTATAGATTAGTCTTGAGTGATCATTTGGTGATATGTGTTATCACATCACCTGCTGCCGGTAAACCTTCTCTGCTAACATAACTGTGGTGAGTTTTGAACTCCCAACCTCCTCAGCATCGCTCTGCAGGTCACTGTCTTGTGTGTGCTGCACGCCAACCAACTGCACCACTGGAGCTCAACAGCTGGCCGCCTTTATTAACCTGAATGTTGAAAGTCTCATGAAAGAAAACAATGCTTCAGTCATTCAGTGTCTCTGGCAAACTGTTGATTAACATCACAGAAGTATTTGAAGTTTAAGTTGAGCAGGCACATTAAAGCTGCTACATGTAGTCAAAGACATCTAGTCATTCAACTGAATTGAATTCTGGGACGCACCTTTTGTCCAATGCTTTTAACTTTAAAAGTCACAAAGCACTGAACAATAAGCGCGTCCCAGCCAGGTTCATCACTTTTTTGTGTCTCCTGGAAACACTTCCATTTATGTCTGTGCTACTTGCAGCACCTCTCTGTCTTTGGTTGTGTTGTGAGTGCATTAGCTTGTGTTTTGTCTATTTCTATGCGTTTTCTTAAGTTGCAGTACCATCATACGTTTAAAACTGAACTGCTCCAGGTGAGGCTTGAACTCACAACCTCGGCATCACTCTGCAGGCTACTGTCTTATAAGTACCGCGCGCTGACCGATTGCGCCACTGGAGCTCGACACACCTCTGTGTTTATTAACCTGACTGTTGAGTAACATCATTAAAGTATTTCCCCTTAAAGCTGAGGTAATACCTTGGTTGGTTTTTCACAGTCTAAGGCTTGTAGTTGAGCAGCAACATTAAAGCTGCTACATGTAGTTTAAGACGTCCAGTCACCCAACTGGATAATCTGATTATCGTGATCTGTTCGTTCATTCTTTGATGACTTGTCACTTGGATTGTGTTGTGTTGACTATTGTGATCAGTGTGAGTTGTCTAGAGGAGTGTCGTTCACTGTCTTATTTTCCTCAGTCACCGTTGTAAAACTGAACTGCTCCAGGTGAGGCTCGAACTCACAACCTCGGCATCGCTCTGCAGGTTACTGTCTTATAAGTACCGCGCGCTGACCGATTGCGCCACTGGAGCTCGACATTGTGCTGTGCCTGAGGGCTCAAAGCATTGCAACTTAAGAAAAACGCATGCAAATACACGTGAGGTAAGCAAATACAGAAACGCACTGCAAATACTCACAACACAAGCCAATACACAAATGCGCTGCAAGTAGCACAGATGACAACGGAAGTGTTTCCAGGGGACACAAAAAAAAGTGATGAGCCTGGCTGGGACGCACTTTTTGTTCAATGCTTTTAACTTTTAAAAAGTCACAAAGAACTGAACGAGAAGTGTGTCCCAGCCAGGTTCATCACTTTTTTTGTGCTACTTGCATCTTGTGTCCGTCTTTGCTTGTGTTGTGAGTATTTGCAGCACACGTGTTTTTCAAATTGATGAAGATGTTTGGTGAATTTGCTTGTGTTTTTTGCAGTTGCAGTGCATTGAGCTCTCAGAGTTAAAGCTACATGTAGACAAAGACGTCCAGTTATCCAACTGAACTAACATTATCTATTGGCTTGTCCTTTGTCAACTAGTAACTTGGACTGTGTTTTGTTAACTGTTGTGATCAGTGTGAGCTGTCCAGAGTTCACCACCTTATTTTCCTAAGCTACCATGTGTGTAAAACTCTGCTGCTCCAGGTGAGGCTCGAACTCACAACCTCGGCATCACTCTGCAGGTTACTGTCTTATAAGTACCGCGCGCTGACCGATTGCGCCACTGGAGCCTGACGTCCCTCCGTGTAACACCGAACAACAGATTTAAAAATTCCTGGAAAGTGAGGCTTATCGTTTTGGCCAATTAGATCAGTTCTCAAGTTGAATTCAGGTGGTTATTATTATGTTGGCGCTTGGATGAGGTCACCAAAATAAGAAAAGAAGCATAAAGATGGAAGTTGTCCCACCTCCAAGTTTGTTTAAAATATCTTCTTCGTAATTATAATTCCTTCATTGCTCCACAAGGTGGAGATATGAGGTTCAAAAAAAAGAATAGATACTGTTTCTTCTAATTCCACTGGATCAGTTCATAAGATTCAGATTACTCATGGGTATTTCTGATAAGTAACACTGACAAGACAATTTAGAAACTTGTGGGTCAACAGTGGTCAATTCATTATTAAGTCTGTTAACCGCAGGTTTTAAAAGTAAAAGTATAAATAACATTAAAGAAAAAATGTGGAGAGCAGCAAGAAAGGGTAATTAATTCCTCATTTGAATTAACAGATTTCCCTCTAATGTCTATAAAAGCCTCCTGAAGCGTGAACGCACCTTGTAAATCCCTCCTATTTCTGCCCACACTGATTATCCTCGAAGCTTGTTTTCTGCAGCTACGCATTGTAATCAGTTCTTACAAAAGGGAAAGCAGCTCTCTGTATGTCCTGCACGTAATGTGACTCTCACTCAGTGTGTGACACAACAAAGAGCAAAGAGTGTTGGAGTAAATAGAATTTAGAAACAAGAATTCATTGTGTAGACTGCATGTGGACAGACATTTGTGTGTGCTTGTGCACCTGCGAGACTGTGTGTGAATTGTAAATTAGCTTAAACACCAACTTGCAAAACATAATGAAACTACAACTGATGCAAAAAAAAAAAAAAAAGTTGAAACAAAACTACACCTCCAAAAAAAACTGAAAACTAATTAAAATTCCAAAATAGGATCCTAGCACAGGCACCCTTCTCCTGTCTTTACTGGTGTCACATATATAATAGTTTAGGCCTAGTTCCCCCCCCCAGATATGGGCCCATTTGTCAGAAAGCTTGCCAGCACTGCTTCCTGTCCCGGCCTCCAGCAGAAGGAGGAGGTTGGTGTTAAAGTGATGCAGAGCTGTGTGTAACCAAGCAACTTGCAACTAAACCTGCAGCAAGAGGAAATATGGTCAAATACTCAGGAAACACACAAACTGTTTTACACTTTTGTTTATACACACATAAATTACACACTCACAATGCCAATACACAAAAAGACATTCAACACACACACCTGCCCCATTAAATGTTCAACACATTAATGTATCTCAATACATAAAGACTTCTCAATGAGATTAATAAATAATCAGGTTGACCCCACCTCCCCTCATTACAGTTCTCCTAAATCCCCAATATCACTGAGGAATATGAAGCCAAAATATTTGTGAGACTTTTGCCTAAAATGCAGTTTGCAGATTCTTGAGGACCGACCACCAAACTAAACCAAAACCAGTGAACGAGATAAAGGTTTAATACCTTTCCGTACCAGCTCGCCCTCCCTCCTCTAGATTGCATTATATTATTAGTGAAAGTCTCCATCTGGGATATGATAAAAGCTCAGCGACAGTATTTCTCCCTTTAGTGGTAGGGAAGTATGTGACTAAACACCCACACATGTACAAACACTGCTGCTTATTATTCTTGTCACCACAAAGTGTTGTGTTCTGCACTTGTAGATTTTGTGAGATAAAACGTCTGTCAGTATCATCAATATCCAGTACATTTTTCTTTAATTAAATAGCGTGGCAGTAAAATCAGTATTTAATGCTTAGAAACACAGCAGATGACATCTCCAAGTCTATGCTATTACTCAATTGTGTAAAATCTTATAATTACAACAAGCCTGCAGAAACAGATTTCAGACAGGTTGCACGGAACTCTGCAGGCTTGTAGTTGCTCGGTATCACCGCTAGGCGGCACTGTGAGGCTGGCCGGCGGAGCGGCAGTCACTCGGTCGGTCGGTCGGTCAGTCAATGACCTGTCATCCAGCAGCAGCAGCAGCAGCGGCAGCGGCAGCACCGTGGGCGGCGGGAGGGACAGACAGAGGACCCCCGGTGTGCTTCATACAGAAACCGAGGTTTCACTTCACTGATATCGCACATCTTTTATGTCACGTGAACACCGCCCTCGTTCACATCTGGAGATCGCGCTTGATAGTGAAACTACTCTTCCTCGTGTCCGCGTGATGTGTGGCAGGGATAACTTATGAAGTGACCGGCGTTAGCATCTCACCGGTGGAGCCGTCGGTGCTGGACTGGGCTACGGGAACCGGACTCAGTTTGAAGGTAAGCGGGGGAACAGTTGTGTGTCATACCGAGTCTTGTCGCCTCTCACACCGGCTGTCATTTACTGCACGCCTCGGTGTGAGGGCGATCCGTCAGCATCTCGCTCTCAGTGCACATATGCAGGTTTGAAACGGCGCTGCAGCACATGGGGGTCTCTGGGTGGGGTCTCCTGAGTCTTGCATGGGTGGGTGGGTGGGGGGGCATTGGGTAACCTTGTTAGGTGTGTATGTGATTTGTCTTTACTGGGAGAGTTTTGCACATCTGGACGACTAACTTCCAACCTTTCAATTAAAATTTAAAATGGCATTTTTTGTGAAGCCTCTGGTCAGGTTGTCATGTGAGGAGTCAAATGGGTTTACTGAAAGTGAGAACAGGTGTGTGTGTGGGTGTCAAGTCTCTCTCTCTGTCTCGCTCTCTCTCTCTCTGTCTGACACACACACACACACACGAACGGGTTGTGAGTGTGATAAATCGATTTCAAAGTGCTGCTTGCTCTGGTGCTGTGGAGATGAAGGGGACCATTTGGGTTGCTGGCTGCACAGAAATCCCACAGAGACAATTAAACCACTGACCTGTGGCATCAAGGATTTGTTTTGGCTTCCTGTTTGGAAAGATGGTAGGAAGCAGACACACACACACACACACACACATGTGGAGTAGCCGTTCAGATTTCCTCCTGAGGGAAACCGGATTCGAGGCCAGGGTTTGAACCTGTGACCTGCAGTACTTAATTGTATGTGGAGAATCAGTGCTGAGTTAATGGAGTGTGCCAAGAAGAAATTAGTGAAGATTCATATCTACACACATAACACACACACACACTTTCCAGACTCTAGACTTCAGCTTATAGCTATTATTATTATTATTATTATTATTATTATTATTATTATTATTATCTCCTCTATTTAGTGACTGCATTATTTTCCAGTGTTTTTATCTTGAATAACAGAATGTAATGGAACTAATACGACTCCACATATTAACTGCTGATTGAATGTTTTATTTTGGAGGGAAAACACAGTATCCCTGACTGAACGCTGGAATATTTCCTTCGAAACGTTAAACTTTATAGCATTCTCTCACCACTTTGCGACAGCCGTACTACTTGCTTTCTATTTAGAGCGATGGACGTTTTTCTGTTTACCAACCAAATCACCAGCTGTTTTATATGTTTTAAGAACTACATGAGGGTGAATGGCCCTGAGAGGTTTGGCAAAATATCTGTAATTTTGGCATGTCAAAGCTATTAAAATTAAAATTATCGCTGATTAATGTGATGAGTGTCATGATTAATTGATTGGTATTTAAAATGTTAATAAGGAAATGTTTATTTTCAATTAATGACTTTTATTTTGAAGTGATCCTTCAACCACCCTTCCCAGAACCTAAAACGAATCTTAATTTTAATCTTAACAGTAAATGGTGACTTTGACTCTCTAAATTACAACTGAAAGTGCTTCACATAGTGTGAAGGCATGAGTAAAAGAACACACCCACACACACACACACACACACAGACACACACACACACACACACACACACACACAACCTCAACCTCTAAACAGGAAGCTGACAGCATCCTGGAAGATGTTTCATCTGTTGCTCTGTGTACACCAGTGAAAGTATAGTAGGCGTCTGTAGGCACGGTGGCATTTTGCAGGTGTGTTTCTTTGGTTTCTCTCCCCTGGCACGCTGGGGTTACCATGTTAAGCGTGTTTGAACAGGTTGGGTAGGAAAGCGGCAGTGACAATAGCAGGTTTATTTCTGGGCCGCTGCTCTCAGAAGAGCAATGCACCTTCATGTTTATACGGAGCCCTCCTCTGGGTGCATCAGGGTGGAAAACTGGTTTGGTTTTACAGGAGCCCTCCAGCTTTTTCACAATGCATTTTTCATGGCAGCACGCCCATGAGTGGATCTTCTCCAGTGCCTACAAGCTGTACTGTTTATCTTTCTTGTGTTTTGTGCTGCTACTTGTCACTGCACAAGTTGTTCTTTCATCTAGTCAAGAAATCTGCATAGAATAGTGACGGGTGCTTTTGACTAAAGTAACTAATAAAAGCATTATCTGAAAGTCTTTACACAACTTGAAATTGCTGCTTATATCAGATTGTTTTCTGCTTCAGTTTGACATTCTGTCTTTTTGACAGAGTATTCATCTGAGGCATTCAGATGAATATTTCTCTTTCGGTTTCTTGCTGTATCAGTTATAATGGTGTCAGATGGCGTCAGAAAATTGTGAAAAATGCCCTTCGCAACTTTTCAGAGCTCAAGGGAACTGACCAACGGTCCAGAACTCACAGATATTCAGTTTACAAAAATGTAAAACACACTCTTTTTTACAGTGATTCTCAATCGTTAAGCATGTGGCCCCCTAAAGCAAAGCAATGTCCACCTGCGACACAGGCTCCACAAGGCTTTGAGCTGTAACCAGTTCATTTGAATAGTTTTTTAGGCGTACTAGTAGCGTGGCCTCAGTCTAACAGGTGGGTGCTCCACCAATTTGGTCCAGACTGAAGTATCTCCTCGACTATTGGATGCACAGACATTCATGGTGCCCAGAGGATGAATCCTAATGACTTTGATGTTTCCTCTAGCAGTTTGCATTTGTGGTCTTGAGTGAAATGTCTAACTATCGGAAGGATTGCCACGAAATATGGCACAGATGTTCATGTCTTCCTCAGGATAAAATCGTACTCTATCACTATCACTTAGATAGTCCTATGAATTAAACTCTTGCGCCATCATCAGGTCCGTCAGTCTCAGCTGTGGGGTTAGTGCTAATTAAACATTAGCCTGCTAGCGATATGTGAACATGATAAACATACCTGCTAAACATCAGCATGCTAACCTTTAGCCTCAAGCAGCACCTATCATACCCGTAGACTCTCACAGCTGTTTTCTTGGACCCAGTTGCACAATGTGACTCGCACTTTGCGGTCATGCATGTCGTTCATAACCAAAAAAAATTCGATGTGCACATACGCACTGAGGTTTCAGTGGTTAACTTGCAATAATCTGGTAGCTGCAGATAAAATATAACCAGCACATCTGCTCTGCGTAATTGTGGTTTGACAGTGACATCATCACTGCAGATGGAAGAGATACCTGCACCTGCAGAGGTAACTGTTAATACAGGTTTTAAGACCTGGATAGTTAAAGATCACAATCAGCAAACAGCTCAAAACTCTGAGCTGCTACATGAAAGACTAGCAGTGTCAGGACTGTGCTCCGCCCCGACTCACAGGATTTTCTGACTGACAGGTGATGGCTTGAGTAATTGAAGCTGTCGTGCAGTTAGTTTTACCCTCCGTCCCCCGAAAGACAAAATGATGAAGATTTGACCTGATCCCCAGCGATCTGGAAAAGGATTTCTCTAATCCTCTCCCTCTTTGCATCTCTCTTGTCTCTGTGTCTCATCATGTCTCTCTTTCAGTTTTTTGTGTCACACTCACTTTTGTTCATCGTCACGCTGAATCAAAACCAGGAGGGACTTATCAGTGTGACAGTCACACCTGCGCTGCCAGAGCACTCAAGCAAATTACTCACAGATGATACGGATGCACGCGTGTGTTTTATTTTTACTTTATGCAACTAAATAAGCGGAAAACTGAAAAATCTTTATATTTCAGGAATCACATTCTCATTTTTTGGCTGACTTTACTGATTTCCTTGACATAATTATAGATTGCAGTTATACTTATCCTCTTATTGACAGCCAGTATTATTGTAATCTTTCCTCAGTGTTTAAAGTCACACACTCACTTCTGTGTTGTTGGTTTAATTTTCCTTTTCCAGCCTAGAGATAGAGACAGAAATAGAACGGCTGCAGGGATTGTAGAAGAGAAAAAAAAAAAAGCACTGCACATCAGACAGATTGTCGAAGGTTAAACTGTGGCTGGAGGATCACTGACTGTACAGTGGACACATGGGTCACTGAGAGGTCACGAGTGGATCATTTACATAAGGGTATGGGATGATGCATAATGAGCAGATTTACAGTCCTGCAGTTACTTTGAAAACATCCATCTTATGAATGTTTTCAATAAAATGCAAACTAGGTTTCAATCTGCTGGGTTGAAGCTGCATGAACGGGATTCCTGACAAACATAAGAAGAGAATCTGAAGCTGCTTGTGTCTGCAAATGGCTGCACAGCGTAACGAACTCTGAGCCCTCATATACATATGACCTGAAGCAGGTCGTTTATTTTAAAAGGTCGTGGTTAACAGATACACATACACACACAACCCTCACCCTCACACACCGGGTTGGGCTGTTTGTGTCTACTTTTGCTTTATTTTTATTTATTATAATTATATAAAGGTTGATTTTTACATACAATGAAATAGTCAGTGTTTACATTCATATTCCTTCCATTTGGACTGGCATAAACTGGATTTTTTTAACCATTTATTTATAACAATTTCACCATTAATCTGTATTAACCATGCATCCAATATTTTTAGTTGACTTAACCATTGCAGAGATTTTGTCCATTAAAACTTTTCTTTCATTTTGCCTAAAAAGAAATTATTCAGTAGAAACAGATCTTTATCTTGAACTTGTAACAAAAGTTCTGGATGAATAGCAAACTCTCTTTCAAAAAGGAATTTTAATCTGACCATTATGTGGCGTAAACTGGTCTCCAAACCCGTCTTCAATGTCTTTTTGATGACAATGCAGTCCCCTGGACAGAGTTGTCCTGAGGGACTCCGCAGACTTCTCTGTGATGATCTTGAATAACTCCTCTCTTGTTTCTTTGAAACCACAATTATGACTTCCATTTTTCCCTCCGAGTATTCTTTTCAGAGCCAATTCTCTCTCCCCCCGCTATCTTACCCTAATGTGGCATCTGTGGGCAATTACCATTAACTTTTCATACAAGGCCAGCCAACAGAGGAAGCTCTTGTATTGGAGTTCACAGCATGGGTTTACTGGCTGCGTGGAGGGATGGCAGGAAGGAGGGATGGCAGGAGGGATGAATGGCTGCTGAGGAGGCCT